TCTGCCAGCTTGTGACCGTTATTCCTGGTCACTCCTGGCAGTGCTCGGGGGAACAGGGACTCCCCCAATGCCTGCTGGTCCCCCCTGACTACTTTGTAACAGGCCACTAGATCCCCCCTCAGCCTTCACTTTTGGAGGCTGAACAGGTTCAGGTCCTGTCACCTCTCCTCGTAGGGCCTGCCCTGCAGCCCTGCCCTGCCCTGCTGCCCCCTGATCATGTGGGTGGTGCTCTGGACCCTCTCCATGTTGTCCACATCCCTCTTGAAGTGTGGCACCCAGAACTGGATGCAGTATTACCTCCTTGGACCTGCTCGAGATGCATCTGTGGATGCACAACAAGGTGTGGTTGGCCTTCCTGACCGCGTCCCCACACTGCCGGCCCATGTTCATCTTGGCATCACAGATGACTCCAAGATCCTTTTCTGCCTCTGCCCTGATGAGAAGGGAGTTCCCCAGCCTGTAGGTATGGTGCCGGTTGTTCCTCCCCGGGTGCAGCACCTTGCACTTGTCAGTGTTGAATCCCATCCTGTTCTTGTCCGCCCACCCCTGTAACCTGTCCAGGTCCGATTGTAGCCTGTTCCTCCCTTCTAGCGTGCCTACATCCCCCCCACATCTTAGTGTCGTCTGCAAATTTGAACAGGGGGCTTTTTACCCCCTCGTCCAAGTCTCTGATGAAGATGTTGAACAGTGCGGGGCTGAGGACGGAGCCCTGGGGGACCCCATTGCCCACATCCCTCCAGGTCAAAAATGACCCGTCCACCACTGCTCTCTGGGTGCGGCCCTCCAGCTGGTTGGCAACACATCTGACTGTTTGGGTGTCGACACCACAGTCCCCCAGTTTTTTAATGAGAACAGGGTGAGAGACGGTGTCGGAGGCCTTCCTAAAGTCCAGAAAGACACTACGTCCACCGCGACACCTGCATCTAAGGATTTGGTGACCTGGTTGTAGAAGGCCGCCAGGTTGGTCTGACAGGACCTGCCTCGAATGAACCCGTGTTGGCTGCCCCTAAGCATAATCTCCCCTGCTGGCCCCTCGTGGACATGTGCCAGGATAACTCTCTCAAAAAGCGTACCCAGGATCGAGGTAAGACTAATTGGCCTATAGTTTCCCGGGTCCTCCTTCCTCCTCTTTTTGAAGATGGGAACCACATTGGCCCTCTTCCAGTCCTCTGGCACCTCACCAGAGCACCACGAGTGCTCGTACAGCCGTGCCAGGGGTCCCGCAATGACCTCAGCTAATGCCCTCAGCACTCGGGGGTGGAGATCGTCCGACCAGCTGATTTAAATACGTCCAGTCCCTCCAGACGTTCCCTGACTAGATCCTCCCTGACCCTTGGCCTGGGTGCGCCTCCCCCGGGGCCTGAGGGGGGCCCGGTGGGGCACTGATCAGGAAAATGGAGGCAAAGAAGTCGTTAAATAGGTTAGCTATTGGAGGTGGCTGTGGCACAGGGTGCTGGCGGACAGGAATGGAGGGGACGGCGGGGCAAGCTTCACCGCCCTGCTTCTGGGAGGCCGGGGGGGTGCGGGGTAGAGTTACTAAGCTTCCCCACCCCTGTCATTCTTCACTGGCAATTCAGTAGTGTGTTTATAGTCGTGCTGAATTTTGCCTGCATTTAATTAGCATCATAGTTGGTTTCCATTACTGATCACATGCTGCTTTTGGCAGCAATTTAATGAAAGACGGAGTATATCTGGGAGGGGCTTTTTTCCCACCATGCTGTGGGGGGCGGTGCTGGGAAATAACCATTAGAGTAAATAAGGTATATCCCGAAACAGAAACTGAAAGACCCCAGCATGGTAAAAATAACGACTAAATGTGAGCTTTTATATGACGCTATTGGAAGAAAAACCTAACGTTATTAACAGTGATCACATGTAAAACTGCAGAGGCATCATCTCCTTGAGCTATAGCTACTACGCTTAGAGCATCGTAGCTCCTGAAAGGTTAATAGAAAGCTAGAGCAAATGCAAAGGACAGAAAAGTACCTACTAAATGAATGGAGGCCAGACGCCATCAAGTGCAAGAACTCAAGTGGCAATGCATAGTAACTCTGGAAATAGGTTTGAACTAGAAGTATAAATTCCAAGTCAGTCAGTCTCAGAAGAGAAGAGGAAGAGGAGCAGTAGTCCAGAACCTTTTTAGGCTCGAGGCACCCCTTGAAAAGTGCCAGCTCTTGGCTTTCACTCAAGTTTTGACTACAGAAAAACCGTAGAACAATTCTTTTGCTGTAGAGAACTTGGGAAACCCACGATGGGTCTGAATGTTTTTAACGCTGTGAATTCCCATTTGAAATCTATGCTCTTATCTTGTTCATCATGTTTGTACACCTAACAGTGCTAACATTGCGTGGCAGCCCTGAAAAGATCTCCAGGCACCTTGGTTGAGAATCACTAGTGTAGGGAAACTTTCCTGTGAGACTTACAGGGTTATGTTGAATTGCAGGGTAAATGGAGATACTGCCCGCAACACTTGCCTTGCATTTTGTAGGGGCTTCTGATTTTGAGTTGCTAATAATTGTGTGAAATTTCAGTTCTTTCAGCCCTTAGCATACCACTGGAAGGGATCATAGGATAATAGGTCCTGCTCAGGACAGGATCATCCCTGCCTAAATCATCCCAGCCACATGTCTGTCTGGCTTGCTCTGAAAAATTTCCAAGGATGTAAATTCCCTCTGCTCATCAGGGGTTTGCCTAAGACTTCATCTTTTGGAAAACTTCAGTCAGAGCAATGCAGTTATTTCTGAGGCCAAGGCTAGGGTAAACCATCACATGAACACATTAAATTCAGATATCCCTTGGTTTGGAAATCTCTGGCTCCGACACGTGCTAGCGCAGGGGTGGCCAGTCTGTAGCACATGTGCCACAAGTGCCATGGTCAGCTTCTGCATGGCACCTAGAGAAGAGGACAGGCAGCAAAGCAGCAGGTGGGAGACGAAGCAGAAAGTGAAGCAGCAAATTGGGCAGCGAGCCCAAGGCAAAAGCTAGAGCAGCAGATTGGGTTGGGGAGCAGAAAGCAGAGCAGCAGAGTTGGGCAGGGGGCGGGAGTGGACGTCAGGGAAGGGTGTGGGGCTATTTTGGCCCCTACTGCTTTGGAGCAAGGAACCAACATTTGACAGGGCCGTTGCCGTTGTCAGGGACGTGCCTTTTTTTCTCTCTCCTCATGAAAATCTGCCCAAATTTGGTCAAGAAGCATTTGAAAACACAATCAGTTTGCACATGTGCAGACTTCTGAGATTCTCCATGCTACAAGCCAAGGATCTGTCTTGGCTGTGAACGTTTGCTGGAGCCTCCTCACCCCGCCCTCCCAATCCCTCCATATGTGACTTGACCATTTATACTCCATCTCTACAGAGCAACGAAGTGTGTCCTTTCAGTCCCGAACTGCAAGCCAGAGCTTGACTTTCCCAGTATTGGTGGCTCCAGGCCCAGGGCCCTTGTTGGCTCATGGTCCTCTGCTGGCAAAGTGGGGAGAGCTGTATGTTTCAAATGCAGAGAAGGCAAAGACCAGGTGAAAGAGAGACAGGAGTAGACTGGGACTGGATTGTATGACTGGAGGGGAGAGTCCCAGAGGAGGAGGAGACTGGGGGAGTACCTGGAAGTCGGTTGGCTGGGATGGGAAATGCTGATATTCAGTGAGACGTTGGGGGTCCAGAGGTTGAGACTCTCAGACTAAAAGATTGTGTTAGGATCAAAATTAGTGGGGGAAAAGGGTGATGGCACAGGAGAGATGACTAAGCATGGGGTGGCAAGAGAACTGGCCCAGGCAGTGGAACTGGGACAGAGTCAGGACTGGGGCTGGACTTGGTTGGAGAGGGAGACTTGCAACTGGGAGTCTGGAAAGAGTAGGGGAGAGAAGAGACTGATTGCAGAATGATTGAGACCTGAGGAACTGGGGTTGATGGGGGACAGTTTGCTGGAGAAGGGAAGGTAGAAGTGGGGCTGCTATACAAGGAGACTTGACAGTAAGCGTGGGAAAGAGGAGAGAGATTGAGGTGGGTGCAGGGCCTGGCTGGATGAGAAGACAGATGAGGAAGCCAGAGGTGTGGAGACCGGAGACAGGTAGGCAGTGAGAAGGGGACTGGGAAAGATGGGGCAGAGGTGGACCAGGAGAGGTCAAGTCTTCAAGGAAGAGGTAGGATGCCTGCTAGGACATGCTGCTTTCTGGAGTCTGGAATGGACCTGAGGGTTCCTGGGCTCCCCACCCCCCCGGCAAAGTGTCTTTTCATGCCCTTCTGCTACAAGCCTCATGGAGGACCACAGCCCAGTATTGTATCAGTTACTCTGTTAACTCAAGTGGCAGACGCATTAAGCACTAAATTTCTAATAATTGCACTTTCTAATGGCCAAGAAACATGAGGCAGTGGCTGCTTTTAGCTGCTAGCCACCATTCAAAGGATCTGGACGTGAAAGTGGAAGTTATTAGTCTTTAAGAAGACCAGACATTTTTTAAAAACCCACTTGCATTTTCCCTTGTGAATCTCAGTTTTCCCACTTGAGACTTCTAACAAACTCCCAAATGCTTGGGTTGTGGAGGACCACCCCAAAGTTTATCTCCATTGGCAAGCTGCTTGGTTGAATAGTCCCAGAGACTTGTATGCCATGTTCATACCTCCAGTGGGGTCATTGCAAGATGTGATGAGACAGTTTGATGGAGATTACCATGGCCTTTTCCTGTGACGTGCTGCCTTTGTGGACAAGTAGAATCTGTGCTTTTGCAATATTCACGTGAAACTTGCTTAAATGCATTTAATTGCCAAGGAAAAAGCAAGCAGCTGATGACCCATCTGAAATTGTGTCCTGTGATACTGGCAGGGAATGTAATTGCAAAATCCTGCACAACTGCCCCTATTAATTAAGAGAACGAGTGTTTCGTACATCTGAATGACTACAGCACTAAGTAAACCCAGCCCAGGACACCTTTAATGTTATTTGAGGTTTTAAGAAGGTTTTGTGCATCTCCTGTAAGCAGTGGGGTAACTTTGGTTTCTTTTTCTTCACAGTTTCAGCTGCTTGCTTCAGCATTGTTCAAATCTGGCTCAGATTTCACTACTCTTGGTGAGTATTATAATGAACCTGAGAAATGAATTGTGCTAGCCGCTTACTGCATTTAGGTTAATTATTGTTGCGTTTCTGCTTCTGCAGTTGAAGTCAGGTATTTATAGGCCACATCCAAGTGGTAGGTCTCTTGATCTCTACGTGTACGAAGCACCGTTAGATACTGTAGAAGGAATGTTTCTGATCACCACTGCTCACTGCCTCAAGCCCGCTTTGAAAAACATCAGTCGCCAGCGGTTTTAAATGCACGGCTCCGTGGATCGTTTTTCAGCTCCTGTAACATCAGATGCTGTCCTGTTTATCCAGATTTGCAGAAGCCTTGCTCAAAATAATGTAACTCATGTCACTTTGGAATCCAGCAGCATGGTTACGAGTCTGTTTGCTGTGAGCATTGTTCAGTGCCTTGAGAACAGTTTGGTTCAGTCTGTTCTTTGTAACACTGGCTCTTCGGGCAGGATGTCAAGAATGAGGAAAACAATAGTGTGTACTTCCGGAAACAGGCACTCTGAACCAAACCCGTAAGATAAAAACCTCTTGAAGCCAGAAGTTGATTTTTTCCCCTGTTTTGATGCTACAACGTAAAAAGATGAATTGGCCTCTATACCACAGTGATGCTCAGAAATGATCCCCTCTAATATTTTTTCTAGTAACTGTGCCACAGAATTAAGTATTCTTTTAAAGAGGATGTGTTTGACATGTGAAAGAAACAACATATGGCACTTTAGCAAATCAATTTCCTTTTTTATCTTTTTTTCAAACAAAATATTTCAGTTTTAAAATCTCTTCATTGCCCGTTAAGACTGTTAACTTGTTAATTGGGTAACATCGTATTCCAGTATCTTTCATTAAATGGTTAAGGAAATACCTTATTTATTCACATACTACATGCAGCTTCTCCTAAAAAAAATAAGCCTTCCAAAATTGAGGAGTGTCTTAAGCGAGGAAGCTGAATATTCTGCCCCAAACAGAATCACAGAGAAGCTGTAAGATGGCTGTTGCTTCTTTTTCATTTTCTTCCCTCCAGCAACTTTTGTGGAGGGAAGAGTGAAGTCCAGCAGGAGCAGAGCCAGGGGGGTTGCAGTTGTGTGGGCATGCCCCACACAACTGATGTGATCTCCGCTTCATCCAAAGTCTAAAACCATCTGTCCAGCAGCCGTGGCATTTCTATTCCAACAGTGCTGATGGAGACGATTGCCTTCATTGCTCATTATAATCTACCTGGTTCCTGCTCTTCACTCCACATATTTTAATGACCCTTTCTCCTTTTGAATGGTCTTGATGTTCCACTAATCAAGCTGTCCTTTTGCTCTGTGTTAGCTACTCGTGGTCTCTTCCATTTAACAGTCCTGCAGAAAGTGTTTAGCTCTTTTCAAAACCCTAGATCTGTGCATACAGGCCAGTCTTCAGCAGCATTGGGTAATCGAGGAATGGAACAGGATCACATTAGTGTGACATTTTGGGTGTGGGCTGAGCCCTGATGAATGGAGCAGTGGTTGGGGAATCATTTTGGTTACAACTGGATGCAAGGATATGCACCTTTTTTTAAAAAAGATAAAAGAGGATTAAGGACTGCGAATTCTAATGTGTATACCGGGGGGCATTTTTGTGCTTGGTTTACATAATCTTTAAAATTAACTGTCTTGTTTCTCCCCCCCCCCCCCCTTTTTTT